GGGGGGTTCATGGTTCAGGGGGGGTTTAAAGAGTGAAGTGGGGGTTAGGGGGTTCATGGTTCATGAGGGTCAAGAGTGAAGTGGGGGTAGGAAAAATTTTGGGTTTTCATGATGGTCACAGACGGGGAAGTGGGGGTAGGAGGTTAAAGTTATGTTTGGTCACAGACGTGAAGTGTGGGAGGAAGGTTCATGGTTCATGATGGTCACAGAGTAAAGTGGGGGTTTAAGGAAGGTTAAAGGTTTCATGATGGTAACGGGCCGTGAAGTTGGGTAGGACGGTTCATGGTTCATGATGCCCAAGACGTGAAGTGTGGGTAGGGGTTTCAGGTTTCAGATGGCACAGACTTGAATTTGTGGGGGGAAGGGGTTATGGTTATGATGGTAAGACGTGAAGTGTGGGTGGGAAGAGTTCAGGGTTCATGAGGGCCCAAGGGGAATTTGGGGTAAAAAAAGGTTTCATGGTTATGATGGTACAACGTAAAGGGTGTGGGTGGGAAAGGTTTTTTTCCCGATGGTCAAGACGGAAGTGGGGGTGGGAAAGGGGTTCCCTGGTTCATATGGTCCCAGAGTGAAGGGTGGGTGGGAAAAGGTTTTAGGGTTTTATGATGGTACAGCTTTAAAAGTGTGGGTGGGAAGGTTCATGGTTCATGATGGTCACGGACGTGAGTGTGGGTGGGAAAGGGGTTTTCTTGGTTCTGATGGTAAACAGGTGAATTTGGGGGGTTGGGAAAAATTTCTTTGGTTCATGATGGTCCCGACGTGAATTTGTGGGTGGGAAAGGTTAAGGGTTCATGAGGGGCCCCGAGTGAAGTGTGGGGGGAAAGGGTTCTTTTTTTTTCAGATGGTCAAGCGTGAATTTGGGGTAGGAAGAGTTCAGGGTTCATGATGGCACAAAACGTGAAGTGTGGTAGGAAGGTTTCAGGTTTTTTGAAAGTGCCCGGGCGTGAATGTAGGTGGGAAGGTTCTTTGGTTCATGAGGGCCCAAGACGTGGGGGGTGGGGGGGAAGAGTTCAGGGGTTCTGTGGCCCAAGACTTTGAAGGGTGGGGGGAAGGGGTTATGGTTCTTGAGGGGAAAAACGTAAAGTGTGGGGAGGAAGAGTTTTTTTTTTTTGATGGTCAAAAAAGTGAAGTGTGGGTGGGAAAGGTTATGGTTCATGATGGTCACGAGTAAAGGGTTGGGTGGGAAAGGGTAAGGGTTTAATGAGGTACCAGGTGGTTTTTGGGAAAGGAAGAGTTAAAGGTTCATAGGTACAAAACTAAAGTGTGGGTGGGAAGGTTTCCTGGTTCTTGATTTTTCACAGCTTTGGAAGTGGGGTAGGAAGGGCCCAGGGTTTCATGATGGTAAAAGAGGGAATGTGGGTGGGGAAGATTTCCCGGGTTAAGGGGGTCACAGAGTGAAGTGTGGGTGGGAAGGGTTTCCCTGGTTCATTTTGGCCCAAGAGTGAAGTGGGGGTGGGAAAGGGGTTTTCATTTTTCATGATGGTCCAAAAATGAATTTGGGGGTAGGAAGATTTTGGGTTTTCATGTGGTAACTAAAGGGTGGGGGTTGGGGAAGAGTTCTGGTTCATGGGGTTTCCAGGGGAAAAGTGTGGGTGGGAAAGGTTTTCTGGTTAAATGATTGCCCCACGGGCCCGTAAATTTGGGGGTTTAGGGGGTTCAGGGTTTCTTAATTTTCACAGACGTGAAGTGTGGGGGAAGGTTAAGGGGTTCATGAGGGTACAGAGGTAAAGGGGGGGTGGGAAAGGTTGGGTTTCCCATAATGGGTCACAGATGAAGTGTGGGAAAGGAAAAGGGGGTTCAGGGTTTCATGAGGGGTACGGGCCTTTGAAGTGGGGTGGGAAAGGGGTTTTCAGGGTTATGAGGCCCCAACTTTGGAATTTGGGTTTTTGGGAAAAGAGTTCAGGGTTTCATGAGGGTCACAGCCGTGAAGGTGGGTAGAAAGTTCATGGTTATGAGGGTTTCACAGAGTGAAGTGTGGGTAGGGGGGTTTTGGGTTTGGGAAGGTACAGAGGGGTTGTGGGTAGGAAGTTCAGGGTTTTAAGATGGTAAAGCGTGAAGGGGTGGGTGGAAAGGTTTGGTTCATGATGGTCACAGAGTGAAGTGGGGGTTTGGAGAGTTCGGGGCCCTGTGGCACAAAATTTGTTTTTGTGGGTAGGAAGATTTAGGGTTTTATGATGGTACAGAGGGGAAGTGGGGGTGGGAAAGGGTTTCTGGTTCATAAATGGTCAAGACCGAAGGGGGGGTAGGAAGGGTTAAGGGTTTTTTCATGAGGGGGGTCCCACAGAGTAAAGTGGGGGGTGGGAAGGGTTATGTGGTAAAGACTAAATTTGGGTGGGGAAAGGGTTTTCAGGGTTTTCATGATGGTCAAAGACGGGGAATGTGGGTGGGAAAGGGTTTTTCTGATGGTCAAAGAGGGAAGTGGGGGTTTAAAAGAGTTCAGGGTTCAAAAAGGTCCCCAAAACGTTAAAGTGGGGGGGGGGGAAAGGGTTTGGTTATGTGGTCAAGCGGGGAAGTGGGGGTTAGGAAGATTTATGGTTCAGATGGTCACAAAAGTGAAGTGGGGTGGGAAGTTCTGGCCCATATGGTCACGGGAGTGAAGTTTGGGTAGGAAGATTTTTTCATGGTCATGATGGTACGGGACTAAATGTGGGTGGGAAAGGGTTTTTATGGTTCATGATGGTCCCGGGAGTGATTTGGGGTTTGGGAAAGGGGTTTATGGTTCATAAATGGTACAGACGGAAGTGTGGGGTGGGGAAGGTTGGGGGTTTTCATGATGGCCCCAGACGTAAAGTGGGGGTGGGAAAGGGTTTTCCGGGTTTCCCTAAAGGGTCACGGGTTTGGGAATGTGGGTAGAAGGTTCAGGGTTTCATGAGGGTTCCCCAGACTTTTGAAGTGGGGGTTTGGAAAGGTTCATGGCCCCATGATTCCCGGAATTTTGGGTGGGAAAGGTTAAGGTTTCCCTGATGGTCCTTAAAAAACAAAAAGTGTGGGTGGGAAGGGTTAAAGGTTTCGGGGGTCCAACGTAAAAGTGTTGGTGGCGGGTTTTGGGTTTTTCATGAGGGTCACAGACGTGAAGTTTTGGGGGGGAAAGGGTTTTCTGGTTACAAAGTCACAAAAGGAAGTGTGGGTGGGAAGGGTTTCCCTGGTTCATGGGGGCCGGGACGTAAGTTTGGGTAGGAAATTTTTATGGTTCATGATGGTCACAGACGTGAAGTGTGGGTAGTGTGGGTAGGAAGGTTCATGGTTCATGATGGTCACAGACGTGAAGTGTGGGTAGGAAGGTTCATGGTTCATGATGGTCACAGACGTGAAGTGTGGGTAGGAAGGGTTCATGGTTCATGATGGTCACAGACGTCATCTGGAGACCAGTGATAAGTTGTGGGTTTATTATGACTGCCTCCAGCCATGGTACTGGCGATTAATTTTCATAGTATCTCTGTGTAGACTTGTAGCCAAAGTTAATATTATGGGTATATTATTATGGATGGATTTATGAAGGATGAGGTTAATCATAGAATTGATGAGGGAAAAAAAGTGAGTGTTGCGTTGAGGTATATGTGGAGACAAAACACGTTATCTATGGTGGCAAAGAAGGGAATGTATGAAAGTATAGTAGTGCCAACACTCTTATATGGATGTGAAGCTTGGGTGGTAAATGCTGCAGCAAGGAGGAGGTTGGAGGCAGTGGAGATGTCCTGTTTAAGGGCAATGTGTGGTGTAAATATTATGCAGAAAATTCGGAGTGTGGAAATTAGGAGAAGGTGTGGAGTTAATAAAAGTATTAGTCAGAGGGCTGAAGAGGGGTTGTTGAGGTGGTTTGGTCATTTAGAAAGAATGGATCAAAGTAGAATGACATGGAGAGCATTTAAATCTGTAGGAGAAGGAAGGCGAGGTAGGGGTCGTCCTCGAAAAGGTTGGAAGGGGTAAGGGAGGTTTTGTGGGCGAGGGGCTTGGACTTCCAGCAGGCGTGCATGAGCGTGTTCGATAAGAGTGAATGGAGACGAATGGTATTTGGGACCTGACGATCTGTTGGAGTGTGAGCAGGGTCATATTTAGTGAAGGGATTCAGGGAAACCGGTTATTTTCATATAGTCGGACTTGAGTCCTGGAAATGGGAAGTACAATGCCTGCACTTTAAAGGAGGGGTTTGGGATATTGGCAGTTTGGAGGGATATGTTGTGTATCTTTATACGTATATGCTTCTAAACTGTTGTATTCTGGGCACCTCTGCAAAAACAGTGATAATGTGTGAGTGTGGTGAAAGTGTTGAATGATGATGAAAGTATTTTCTTTTTGGGGATTTTCTTTCTTTTCGGATCACCCTGCCTCGGTGGGAGACGGCCGACTAGTTGAAAAAAATTATTATTATTATTAAACTGAGTACTAAAAAAAATATTGACATAAAAACACATGCTACAAAGTACTGCGACCCTGTGTGACCTGGTGTGACTTACCCTGGCACAGTGGACCGTACTGTGTGACCTGGTGTGACTTACCCTGGCACAGTGGACCGTACTGTGTGACCTGGTGTGACTTACCCTGACACAGTGGACCGTACTGTGTGACCTGGTGTGACTTACCCTGACACAGTGGACCGTACTGTGTGACCTGGTGTGACTTACCCTGACACAGTGGACCGTACTGTGTGACCTGGGGTGACTTACCCTGGCACAGTGGACCGTACTGTGTGACCTGGTGTGACTTACCCTGACACAGTGGACCGTACTGTGTGACCTGGTGTGACTTACCCTGACACAGTGGACCGTACTGTGTGACCTGGTGTGACTTACCCTGACACAGTGGACCGTACTGTGTGACCTGGTGTGACTTACCCTGACACAGTGGACCGTACTGTGTGACCTGGTGTGACTTACCCTGACACAGTGGACCGTACTGTGTGACCTGGTGTGACTTACCCTGACACAGTGGACCGTACTGTGTGACCTGGTGTGACTTACCCTGACACAGTGGACTGTACTGTGTGACCTGGTGTGACTTACCCTGGCACAGTGGACCGTACAGTGGAGGGCCTGGTTGTGAGAGTCATACAGCAGAGAGAACTCAATGGTACCAAGCTCCAGGCTGTTACCTGCAACACACACACATGTCAACACACAACAATGGTACCAAGCTCCAGGCTGTTACCTGCAACACACACACATGTCAACACACAACAATGGTACCAAGCTCCAGGCTGTTACCTGCAACACACACACATGTCAACACACAACAATGGTACCAAGCTCCAGGCTGCTACCTGCAACACACACACATGTCAACACACAACAATGGTACCAAGCTCCAGGCTGCTACCTGCAACACACACACATGTCAACACACAACAATGGTACCAAGCTCCAGACTG